AAGGCCGCCTCGATGCCCAGTTAAACCGGTGGGGGTTGTGTGGGAGTGGTAGGGAGAGGTTAGGGGATGTCGGTGGGTTGGAAGAACCTCGTGGCTCAGGTAGTTGAGGGGGAGGGGAGGGTAGTTTTCAGGGTAGTTTTAGGAAGGTTGGGAGAGATTGGGTCTCTGCAGGGGAGAGGAAGGCAACCGGGAGAATCGGGGCGAACCACGTGCGTTCGACGTATAGCCGGAAGGGGCTGTGCGGGCGGTAGTCAACAAGCTTGCGGATACGGGAAGTAGCAGCAAGGGTGCACGTGGCCATCTGCGTGAAACCAAATGTGCTGACGAGTTATTTGCCGTACAACCGCGTCATGTTGGTCTCCCCTCCCCCCCCCTCTCTGTAGGTATGTGGCACCTACCACTTTCTACCTCCTCTCCAAACGACGCTCAAAAATCACCTCCTCCACAATGTTGCTTGTGAGAGCACGCCGTCCCCCTCTTACCACCGGTCGTAAAACGTGACCCAACTCTCCGGTAGTACTATTTAATCGTTTGGCCGCTCTTTTTTATTGTTGTTTCGGTTTGAAAAAAAAAAATGTGGTTTGAATGACGATTCGGGCAGGCGCTGACGCTGCAGAAGACCAAGTGCATCTACCACAACACCGCGGAAAAGATTGACCTGACTGAGGACCACTCCTGCCAGCTGAAGATGCTCCCGCAGGTGCCGTGTGTCCCCTCCCGTGCCAGCGGCGTTTAGATCGTCATCATCATCATCAGCAGTAGCAGCAGCAGCAGTGTGTTACGCAGATGCCCACCCGGTGCATGCAGCACAGCATCCATCGCCCGAGCAGCCATATACTTGAGTATACTTGGATGTGGCATTCTATTTTATTTTCGAAAATGTGGATACACTCGCAGAAACAGTACTACCCGTTTAAGACAATACCACTGCCGAAGGGGGTGGATGGTGATTCTTTCTCTCTTTTTTTCTTCCCTGGTGTCAATCATGAACCGGTCTCTCACTCTTGAGGGTTATTATTTTGTTTCTCCGTGGATGTCAATATCAAAGCGGCTTTTAGTTAGTTGTTGTCAGCACTCCTCGACCTGATATCGAATCAAATCCCCCGCCTTGTTTTAGGAGGTCTAGAAGTGTACGGAATGTTGAAAGAAGGAATAGGGTTCAAGGATTGCCTACATGGACCAAAGGATGCAGGGACAAAGCTCAAGGTCAAGTTCAGGACCGGGGACATAGGCCTTCGAGAACGTCGACGAAGACAAAGGACGGTAGACGACGAAGACGACAAGTTCAAATTTGATTGCGGCTTCGAATGCGAAGACCGTGTTCGTGTAGTCGCGGAATGTCAGTTGTACAAGAAGGAGAGGGAAGTGTACATGACTGAGCTGGGAAAAATACAAGGGAGGTACGGGGAGATGTTTGAGGCATGGAATAGAGAGGAGAGGACGGTAGCTGTACTGGGGAGTAGGAGGTGGTTTGAAAAGGCGGGAAGGGATATCGTTAGGACAGACAGACTAGGGAAGACATTTTTGGGCCACCTTTGGCAAAGTAGGAAGGAACGATTTGCCATCGATCGGTGATCGGTCCTGTGGGAACAATGCTCCGTCCTCTCGACGAGGACGCGTGGTCAATGGTCTAACCGCTACGGCATGCAAAACATAAGAGTACGCCCCCCCCCCCCCCCCCTCTGAATTGGTGTTGGCTGAAACTCCTTCGAACTGAACCGGT